AGTTTAGTCTTCTTTGTTCCTTGTGTTGACAGTTGATTTATTTTAAAAAACTTATTTTAAAATACCAACACAATTACTTGTGCGCGTTAAAATGGTAAAGAGACAACGTTCAATTGTGATCTCATGATGCACCGCGAGACAAACTTTCAAATAAATGTCACTGACGCGTCCAGATATCGCAAAAGACGCGCAACTCTTAATAATTTCTGAATGAAAAAAATACGGGACAACGATATTAATAAAAAATGAGCTCTGTTAATTTGGACGCGTCAAACACGGAAAGAATTCTTTTGCTACTCGAGGAACTGTGCGATCTATCCTATCCTGAAGTGCAGCAAAAGTTAAACAAATATGTAAGTGATACTGTCATTAGTTTTCGCGGCACGTATGCACAGTTTTAAAATGAACGCTCCCTTCACTACTGCATGAAATACGAATAAAACTATAAATATATTTTTCTAATATTACAGATACAAACTGTAACAAACTCAGAATTATCATTTCTCGCACCAATTTTGACAAAATCTGAGGAAATGGTAATTCATGTTATTGGGGAGAAAATTTTAGATCGAGAGTTAAGGTTCCCTGTAAGTAAAATTTTGACATATTCTTCATTTTTAGTATGTGCCTATACTATGATGAAAAATTATTTGATGAAGACTTATAAATGGCTTATTAGTAATATATTATAACTCTGCTTTAAAGTATAACATTCTTGCACATTAAGTTTTTAATACTTTTGAATCCTATAGTACATTTATAATGGAATATATGTAGCTTAAAAGAATTATTATGGTGCAACTAATATTACATTAGCTTTGAGGATTGTTCTACATTACGAAAATAGAGATTGCTTAGCAGTGTCTAATCCTCAAACAGAGTACTTAGAAACCTACATAAAAGAAGCCATAAAAATAAATACTATTGATATAACACTGTGTAAATGTAGTATAGAGAGTTGTTATCATTGAAAGAATGATATATTTTATCGCTATTCACACTTCTCTAATCAAGATTGACACTTATAAAATTTATTTTTTATTTTATGATCTATATATAATATTCTACTTTCAGTGATGCACAATTAATATAGTATGAAATATAAGAATAGGATTTTATAAGAAATTCACAATTAATTGATAATTTATATAAACTAAAGAATAGAATAATTTTTCAAGTTTAATAATATACAGATAAAGAACAAATAAATATGTTATACGTATTTCTATTTTTCCCTTTTTAGGTATCAAACAATGTCCTATATAAACCTGTGCAAACTAAAAAGCCAACCGCTACGGATATCGCGAAACTCGACGAGGAATTGTTGCGACATCTTGAACCAATGTGTTCTATAACAAACACATTTTTAACAATACCTATACAACATCCTAAACACAATTACGTTGTTTTGTTAGTTTCTCTGTTCGATAACGATCCCAACAAGGAAGGTACATGTAAGTGTGCAATAGTGCAGGAATGTTTCAGGTAAATTGGCTGTTATACCAAAATCATATAAACTTTAAATATTTTTCTACAGATGTACTTATTTTTCTGCAAATATAGATTTTGCCTAGGATTTCTTCTAAATTCGTTCATCGGTTACGAGGAGACGCGATTAAAACTTCAGTGCCAGAATTTGCTAGCTATCTCTAGAAAATTATTTTCACACTTAGGTAGTATCTGTAATGCTAACATTAAACAGTAATTAATGTTTTTATTACATTTTAAATATTAATGAATAGGAGAATTCTCTGATCTCTTACGAGAAATAATGGCTGAAGTTCGAAATCTAACAAATGCCGAGAGGTGTTCATTGTTTCTGTTGGATCCCGAGCATGAAGAATTAGTTGCCAAAGTTTTCGACGGCCTCGCCATAAAGGATGTGAGTTGACTTTTTCAAAGTGAAACTATTAAGTTTCTTAAATGTAGACACAGATGTAATTTTGTTTCCAGTCTCATGAAATGAGAATACCGATAGGACAGGGTATAGCTGGACATGTTGCGACAACGGGCAAACTGCTTAATATTAGAGATGCGTACAAGGATCCCCTTTTTTATAAGGGAGTAGATGAACTTACAGGTTTCAAAACTAGGAATATTTTATGCTTTCCAATTAGAGATGAAAATGGAGTTATAGGTAAGTATATCACTTATAGCAATATAATTATGCTATCTACCTCTAATTGTGATTAAAACTAATTACAGGAGTGGCGCAGTTGTGTAACAAAAAAGATGGTTTATATTTTGACGTTTACGACGAGGAAGTCGCAATGGCGTTTAGTATTTATTGTGGTCTTTCCATAATGCATAGCATTGTTTACAAGAAAATGCAAATCGCCCAAGCGAGAAATAAACTTTCTCGCGAAATAATGATGTATCATATGAAGGTAAAAGATTGTCCCAATGCACACGATATTTTATTAGATCTATAACTATACGTGCAGGTGGAGGACGACAGTATTCAACTGATATTACACTGCTTGGATGAACACAATATAAAGGACTTTGATCAATTTCATTTTAGTCCTAGATCCATACCCTACAACCATATGCCTTGTTATACGATTAGAATGTTTAACGAATTGGGTCTCACCACGTATTTCAAACTTAAGCTACCGACGTTAACAAGGTAACGAAACTTTGAAGTTTTATACAATATTAACATCGGAGAAGGTTGATTTACACACGCGTTACAGATTCATATTATATGTGAAGAAAGGGTACAGAGACGCGCCGTATCATAATTGGACACACGCGTTTGCCACTGCGCATTTTGGATATTTATTAATAAAAAATTTGGATCTCATCAATCAGAATTATATGACTCATTTGGAAGCTATGGTTTTCCTAGTATCTTGTCTGACCCATGATATAGATCACAGAGGGACAAATAATACTTTTCAAACCCAATCACATACGATTCTGGCTAGTCTTTACAGTTCTGAGGGTTCTGTGATGGAGGTAAATTATTTTTAGAACAGGAATTATTTTTAGAAAAAAGGATAAGTCTAATTATTATATCATTTTTAACAGAGGCATCACTTAGCCCAAACTATGTGTATTTTGAATACAGATGGTTGTAATGTGTTCGAGGATTGTAGCAGCGAGGAATATGGAGACGTGCTTGATCTATTGAAAGACAATATACTTGCGACTGACTTAGCAGCTCATTTCCGTGAAGTGAGCAAACAGGACGAAGTCATAAAAATGTTTGATAAAACTAATCCTGAACATAAAAGACTACTCTTCAATATGCTCATGACATGTTGCGATCTCAGCGATCAAACGAAAAGATGGAACGTCACCAAAAAGACTGCAGTAAGTAAAATAAATACTACGAAAGAAATGATACTTATATTCAGAAAGTTTTATTTTTCATTTTTTGTTAGGAACAGATTTACGACGAATTCTTCACACAAGGTGATTTAGAAAAAAGTATGGGCAGTTTACCTATAGAAATGATGGATAGAGAACGAGCATCTATACCACATCTACAAGTTCAGTTTCTCTCAAATTTAGTAATTCCACTATTCATGTAAGTATATTCACTTACATTTTTATCTATATTATAGATATATTGTTATTGTTTAAAATTGCAATTTTATTTTCTAAATTGTTGCTTTTCTAAATTTATGCTTTTGCTCTTCTGTATAGTTTTTTTATCTTATTTCTCAGTAACATCAGTACATTATTTCCGGCGACGCAACCACTGGTCAGTGTGCTAGAGGAGAATAGATACATATGGGAACATTGTAAACACATATTCAATAGATATATAGAAACGGGTATGAAAGCTATGGAAGTTTTATTGGATCCGAATTTTGAAGATGAAGTATTCAACCTTTACACCACTAGCAAGCAAACTTTAACCACGGTACAGCTTTAACCATAAGAAATACAGCTCTACTTCATTCCAAGATTTAGACAAAAGATACTTACGATGTATATAAAGAATTTGAGAATCCAAGCGTAAGCAGACAAGATTTTTACGGATAATAAGTAGATTGTCAAATTATTGAAATTCAAAAGGCAATAGTAACGATCTCCTTAGTCGGTAGATAAATATGTAAAGATTGGCGAAGATTTCTTTTTGTTGCGTAAGGACGCTGGCGTTCGGAAATTTAATAGAATTTCGCTGTACAGTAGAAACGTTATGTTTATCATAAATCTATATGTACATACATATACTGTGTATATACGTCTATCTATATGTTATGAATTTATAAATATTTTATCCCTCGTAGATGAAAGTTCTTCAAATGCCTCGTTAAAAAATGGCCTGTTTTATTTATACTTCATTATTTAATTATATTAGATGCGCAGTCAATATACAAATAATACATAACGTAAGCAGACTTAGGTCAGAAAATTTGTTAAGGAAACTTATATTTTATATAATTGTATTAAAAGTTGTTAAAGTGTTTATGTAACAATTACAAAACAATAATTTCTATAGGACGGTCCAGAATGCATGACTTTCCTCTGAGAATATCAAAATTATTAATGGAAAATGTGAAAAAGAACTTTTACCTCAGAATTTCACACACTTTTAAACTCTCAGAGAAAAGCCGTACATTCTGAGACGCACTGTGTAGTAGTCATTTCTATAGAACTCTATGTATATATATATTTCGTGGAATATATAAAATTATTTCAACTTAATTTCTATTTTTAGTAGGATAATAATACAGTTCATAGACAGTGCATTATATAATGCATATTACAATGTGATAGTTCATAATGAAATAATGTTTACAAAAATTCTTAACTTTATATTGCGGGCAATTAACTGCATAAAGAGTAAATAAAAGATTTCTTTCTAGAAGACAATCGTAAAGGTATTACATAATATGTTGCTCTATTGTTAAGAATTAATTGTATAAAACAATATTTATGAAAAATGTTAAGCATATCACAATTGTAGTAAGCAATACTTTAATATATATTACAGTAAGACCTTAGAATGGCTATAAATATTGCTACTTGATTAACATAAATAACTTACAGAATTATGGATAATTATGTTATTTATCTGAAATATAATCTATTTGTATGCTAAACAATTAAGTATGAACTGATCGTTAAGAAATAAAATACTAATTTTCAAATCTTAAAAGAATTTAGAAAACATGTTTATTTAGGTAATTATTATATTTAAACTCTATAAAATTATTTAAAATTCGATAGTACATAAGCAAACAACGTATTCTCACTTTAATTAAAAACTAAAAATTGTTTATTTTTAAATTGTTACATTTTAAATTTAAATAGCTCATCATAACTCGTAAAATATTTGTAACACGTTTCAATTTTCGAAGTGATTTTAAAAGAAGATAATACACATTCGCTACAATCTGTTCTTATTAACGCGCATTCATCAACCTACCTCATTCCTTTTCACAATTGACCATATTTGTTCCCGTTCCAGTTAAACGAGCATTCCCTTCCCTGGTGGATCACTGTAATTTTCCTTATATTTTCATATTTCAGTATATTTGTCCAGTAGATCAACAGCGTGTTCTTCGATCTGTGTGATTGAAATGTAAAATTTTGTATATAGTTATAACGAAATTAAAATACAATATTTTATACATAAAGTATTCGAAAAAAGAAAATTTAGAATGAAACTTACGCGTATGGTCAACGAGGATCCTTGGACCATGGTTTATTCTTAATTCCTTTTATGGAATTATTCGTGTAAATCAAAACAGATATTTTATCGAACAAAATGGAACATATACTAATTTAGAAAACATGTTTATTTAGGTAATTATTATATTTAAACTCTATAAAATTATTTAAAATTCGATAGTACATAAGCAAACAACGTATTCTCACTTTAATTAAAAACTAAAAATTGTTTATTTTTAAATTGTTACATTTTAAATTTAAATAGCTCATCATAACTCGTAAAATATTTGTAACACGTTTCAATTTTCGAAGTGATTTTAAAAGAAGATAATACACATTCGCTACAATCTGTTCTTATTAACGCGCATTCATCAACCTACCTCATTCCTTTTCACAATTGACCATATTTGTTCCCGTTCCAGTTAAACGAGCATTCCCTTCCCTGGTGGATCACTGTAATTTTCCTTATATTTTCATATTTCAGTATATTTGTCCAGTAGATCAACAGCGTGTTCTTCGATCTGTGTGATTGAAATGTAAAATTTTGTATATAGTTATAACGAAATTAAAATACAATATTTTATACATAAAGTATTCGAAAAAAGAAAATTTAGAATGAAACTTACGCGTATGGTCAACGAGGATCCTTGGACCATGGTTTATTCTTAATTCCTTTTATGGAATTATTCGTGTAAATCAAAACAGATATTTTATCGAACAAAATGGAACATATACATATATAGACTTCTCATATAAATAATTTTTATATAATTAAGTACAGAAAAAATGGCGCGTTCAAGAGAATAGATGGCGCTGAAAGCAACGATTCAAATTGAACTGAAAAGTCGTTATTATATTCCTGTTGATTCCTGCTGGCCTGCTAGATGCTAGGCTGGTGCATTGCACGTTGCACCATCCTGTTCGGGTCATGAAATGGAAATAGTCGTTAAATATTCTGTTACTTTCGTGTATGTCGCAACCATTTCGTAACGTGTTGATCTATTATTCTTTCTATGAAAGATTGTATCACAGTGTCCAAGTTTTTATGCACGTCTAGAAGGTAAGCGACTATACCAATGAATAACCCTCTGTCCACAGAATTTGCTACCGTTATTTTAATGCCTACCGTACTTCTTACAAGAGTGTATCAATGATCGTTCAATTAATTAACATTAGTGTATGGAGTTAATCATTCATTTCGTAGATTATATTATTTATTCAGTTTAATCAACAATATTATTTAACATTGTATTTACTTCTTTAAATATTTTATCATTTTACTGTTTTATAAAAATTATATTGTTTTAGTTTATGTTTTAAGTATGTGAAGTGTTTCAGGTTTCAAAGATGAGTACCAGATCAATGAAAAAAATTCAAGAAATGCTCACCAAGCATATCTTGGATATCTACAATCATCGCACAGAAGTAAAGAAGTCTATTAATGACAATCTAGAAAATACTTTTGACTATTTACAAGCTCTGCTTACTCAAATACCAGAGTCTACTTCTGGTCCTTTAATTGCCCATACACCAAAAGTCACAAGGAAAAAGACTAGAAAGCATATCGAAACTATTCCAGAAAATGATGTCATTATGACTGATAATACACATTTAAATTCTACTGACGTTCAGACTAAAGATGGTACAAGCGAAATTTTAGAAGAAACTGTCAGTGGTCGGTCGAGAAGACAAGCTTCAAAGAAAGCTGCAGACAGTATCCGACAACAACAATCATTGACACTTGCCTCGAAATTACGAAGACCTACCACGGAGGATGAAATTGATATGAAGGTACGTACTATTATATAAAACTTAATTTAATGATATTTAATCCGAATTATTTTAAATTTCTAGAAGAAACGGGCTAGTCAATTGAAAAGAAAGAAGATAGCTAGAAGTAGTTCTGAAGACGAGCAAACTGGAGGACCCACCAAACATAGTAAAACGGAGGCAAGTGTTCTAAGTGAAACCTTAGAAAACAAGAAAAGGAGTAAGAATTTGCAGACTCATAATTCTAAGATAGAAGAACCGACGCAGGAAACGAAGGTCGAGCTGTCAAAACCCTCAGTGGTGACAAGGAGTTCCAGCAGAAAGAGAAGTTACTCGCAAAGCGAGAACGCTAAAAACCGCGACATGGACGAAACAGTGATCGCCCCGAGGGGGAATGAGATGGGAGAGCAATCGGTGTACGAGGACGCGATTGGAAAGCCTGCTCTTAATTCCACAATGAATTACAACTCCACGTATAATTTACAAAACATGGTCAACGCGACGGTAGTATTGGAACGCTTGTCGGCAGCGTCGGTGGTGAAACTGAACGAGACGGTGACGCTTAACAAAAATTTGATCGCGAAAAATAAAGAAGAGAAGAGTTCGACCCATCACAAGATTGAAGAGGGCAAACCGTCTGCCAAAAAGTCTGTATCGCATTCCTCGACAATCCTGCAGGATAGACTGCATTTGAAACAGTTGATGGCGAACAAAGATTTCGATGATTTGATTACGGAAGACGAGTCATCACCTGAGGTGAAGAAACGTAAGACAAGTCTGAAGAAACGACCGAAACGCGTGATCATGTCAATGACGTCGAGCGAGGACGAGGTGCTGAGCACTCCGATAAAACCGACCCTGAAGGAGAAGAACACCGTGACGGGATTCCAGGACTTAAAGAGCACGTACAAGTCGAACACGTTGTTTAGCCCGTATGCAAAAGAATCGGTGAAGAAGAGGATCGAAGCATTCGAGCAAGTGGGCATGAGTCCGAAGACTCTTAATATCGAAGAACCAGTTAGATTAACGAGGACGAAGACGCGTGCTAGAGCTGCTGCACAAGCAGAAGCTATGCAAAATGCGAACAGTATAGAAAAAACGGTTGCTCAGAAACTGGCACGAAAGTCGCTCGCGAAAGCTAAAAAAATTTCATTGGTGAAACAGAATAAAAATAATGACGAGCACAAAGAGGTAATGAAAATACCAAACTGAACATTTAGGGATAATTTATTTATACTCATTTCTGTGAATCTAATTATGGTTTTGATTTTGTGACCAGAACAATTTGCTGTCATCACAGAAAGCCAGTAAGTTAATAACTGCAGAGAAATTGAACGCCACGAAACAACTGAAAGCGACTCCGTTGTACAAAGGAAAAACTCATTTACCGATGTCTGTTGCTCGTATTCCTCACACCCCGGTGAATCAAGTTCACTCGAATGTAAGAATTCGTATGGCATTAACATCCAAAAATGTTTCTGTGTTAATGAATAATTGTACTTAATTTCAGTACAAGGCATTGAGCGCGACGCGTGGGAATATAATCACATCAGTCGACTCTTTCATTCAACACCCCAAATCAGTAAGTAAACGTAACTCACTGGAAAAACAAGAAGAAAAGAGGCGGAAGTTGAATGATGAAGACGCAAAAAAGAAACGAGAAGAGACTCTTAGGCTCCAAACAGAAGAGAAAAGGAGGTACGATTAAATACCAATGGTTTATCTATGTAAGTATATTTTACCAAAATGTAAAATATATGTTTTTTATCAACAGGAAAAGGCAAGAGAAGGAATTGAAGAACAAACTGGCAAGGGAGGCGAAAGAGAGACAGGATATGGAAAAGCGTCAGAAAGCCGAAAGGGATAGAGAGGAGAAAGCTCGTTTGGCCCAACAAATACTAGAGAAGCAACGGGAAGAAATGGAGAAGAAACGGCTAGCTCAATTGCAACGAGCTCAGGTAGAAGTTTAATAATTGTTCAAATGACAAACTCATTGTAAGCAATCTAAAGGACCAATCGTGTTACAGGAAACAGAGGAGAGAAGAAAACAAGAGGAGCAGCTACGTATGCAACGTTTACAGGAACAAGAGGAGGCGGAACGTGTGTTAGCCGAGCAAAGGCGTCGTGAGCAAGAGGCTGAGAAACGGAAAGAAGAACGAGCTCAGCAACAAGAGGCGATTAAGTCTAAGAATCAACTGCACCAAGTGAGACTTTGAACATTAATACAACATCCTTTTGTTTCGAACGGACGTAATTTAATATTGATTTGTTACTTTAGACAAAATACGGAACCAAGAACAATGGCCCGACAGCGTACATACTAGATAGCGAACCGGATGAGGATGGCTCTGATGATGAAAGCAGACCGAAGCATGTAATTCCATATTGGGCACTGCGTAAGTATATATTGTATTTATGTGAAAAGAACGTAATAAGGTAAGCATTAAGATGAATTAATTATGTCTTCTGTTTTAGCGCATGTACGCAAAGCTCAACTTGCGATGCAACGATACATTCCGCAGAAGGCGATCAACCTTTTCTTTGATACCAAGAAGTGCACTCCTGATTTAACTCAAATGTTCCAAGGTATAGATAGAAATAGATTGAAGCGTACGTCCAGCGCAATTTGGAAAACGCCGCCACGTTATTCCATGATGGAATCTGACTAAGAGAGTAGCGTCCTTTTTTAACTTGACGCTGCTTAATTGTGCCTTTACAATGAAATGTTACGTATTTTCATACGTCGAGTGTGTAATATAGGTATGCAATGATGCCATACCATAAGTATTGCAAACACATTTCTTCTCACCATACTGCCATGAATGTAAGACAATTTTTATCTAATTTTCTTCCTGGTTCTTTGAAAATAGCGAATTTCTTATCGTAACTGATTAATTAACTAATTATACTGATGCAACGTTTTATTGAAAAATAAAATTTATTAAACTTGGTTCGTTTATAATATTTTACAAAACTAGTTGTTTTTTTATAAAAAATATTATCTATCAAAGCCTTACTTCAATGAAGCTCTTCGTTCTAGCCGTTTGCTTGTACCACTTGGTTTGCTAAACGAAGAATTTTGTTACATTTTATATACATACACACACACACACATATAATAATTATTATCAGTAATATAATGAGTAAATGGCTAAGATAACAAGATATATACATATTCGTTGGATTGTATGAACCGTTAAATTGCATGGTTTACTTTAGCTCTTTATGTCCATGTAGAAGTGGTGGTAATTTTGGTGTTTGTACGACTTCCAAAGGTCTTAGTTTTAAATGCGTGTATATAGGTATCTGTAATATTATTTACTCATTAAAATGTAATATTTAATATTGACTGCTCTTTTTTAACGAGTCAGAGTTTTGTACCGAATTATATGACATAAATACATAAAGACATTTACGTATGGTAGAGACGTGTCCAAGATCGGATAATCTCTGAATATCATCAACACTGATCTATCCATCACGCTGACAGTCAATCTTCTGCCATCCACTATAGTGGGTTTTTCCTCAGGTTTTACTTTTACACCAGCTAAGATGTCTGTGTCGGATTCCGGTCGTATCGTACCTCCGTCGAGAACCTTTTAATGTCCAGTTCAATATATTTTATATTTCCTTTTTAATAATTATCTAGACTATAATCTTTTATGCTAACAAGTAGACTGTGGATTTTATGCACTTTATCAAATGATTGGTTATATAGAAA